CACAAGCATATCAGACTCCGTATGCCTGAAACACAATGTATAATTTCCACCTTTGTTTCTCCTTGCTCTCAACCCAGAAGTCCACTCCATAGCAAATGAGTTCAGTCTCCTTGAGAAGAGATGCTTAATTTGCACACCCACTCACTTCCCTGCTGCCAGTATCCCCATCTCAATCATCATTGTCTTCTCTGGTGGACAGGAGCTTCCTCTCATTTCTCCTTCTGACATCCCACCCGTCCCCCAATGATGGACATGTATTTCTCAGTTCCAGCACTCTCTGGGCCCAGTGACCATGGCTGCCTTGGTGTTGCTCACACACACCAGTCCATTGTTGTTTTTTGCCAAACAGTTCTTCCCTGGATAGAACCCTCTGTGCTCCCATTAATATACTTTACCCATATACATACAGGCAAAACTCCCATACACATAAAGTAATAAAATCTCCCCAACTGTCAAATATGGGTGAAAATCCCTTCATAATCTTTATGCTTTAACACTTCGGGGGCATATTTCTCAATCTGATGTTATTGGTTCTCAAGGTCTGGATAAATCTAGAAGCAGAACTTGTCAGTTACAGATGCAACTCCCTCAGTCAGTCACTTGCTCACTTCAGAATTACCTTACTTAAGCTGTTACTAGACTTGCTATATTAATGAGTAGAATTCAGCAGTTCAGATCTTTTTGGAAAACTAAAAACTGTAGGGGCCACAGTTTATACATATTCACCAGAAAATATACTTCCTTCCATTTCCTTTTTAGTCACTTCTCTGCTTTCTGCAGCTGGAAAAATATTAAATACAGAAGTTCTTTAATTTCTGTATCTCTTTATAAATTGAGAGCTTCTGAGCGGAAAGATAGCATCAATTTCATGCTCTTCAACTCATGTTGAGGCTACATGTTGTCTGTCATTTTCTGCTTGTATAGCGTCTAGTACAGAGTATAGTTTCTCAACAGGAGTTACCGTGCTTTGAAAGGATGCTGTGACTTTTGCCATAGATTGAGGTGTATACATCTGTCTGGTGATACACACTGTCCCTAAGAATGATTTTTACAAAGCTAAGAGAGAAATGTTCTTGATGTTTTCTGTGTGTGTGTGTGTGTGTGTGTGTGTGCGCGTGTGCAAGCATGTATACATCTGAGTGCATAAGCATGAACATGTGTGTGTGTGCATGTATACACAAGCTGTATCTGTACCTGTGTGTTCAGAACTATAAATGACCAAGTAGAAAACAAATTAGCCATGTGGCTATGTCACACATTCAGACGTTGAGTACTGGTAGACAGAGGTTCCTCACACAGGGTCTGATCAATGCTTTTCTTTCATATTCCCGTGCCTGTTAAACATTTTGAGGTGCTCCAACATAGTGAAACATTTATTCCATTCAGTTAATGTTCTCAACAATCTCTATGAGTAGAGAAAACCATGGGCCAGTCCCTGTCTTTTCTCTTCAAGCTGTTGAGAACCAGTTCTGTGTAAGTAGTGCAGAGGTCAAAGACGTAGTTCACATGTTCAGAAGGCTAGTGAGTTAAAAAACAGACAGACAAACAAACATTAACTTTATGTGAGTCAGGAGCAAGACAAACTTGGGTACCATGGGAGTACAGTGTTGATGTCTTATCAGAAACCTCACCCCAAACCCTGGAGAGCTTGGTTTTAGGTTAACCAACTCATGGCTCAGTTTATGTGTTTTAATTCTTTACTTCCCAAATCGTCTAAACTCCTGGTGCCAATCCTAAGAGCAATTCATCGTGGTAACTGCTGACTTTGATTAGTTAGGTGGCTGTGGTGGCCACAGTCCTGGTGGCTGCTCAACATTCACGGAACAACCTGAGTGTGTTTGTTCAGGAAGTTTGCAATGAAAGATGTTCTGTAAATCAAGAGCTTAGAGTCAGTGGGAGCAGCTTGGCTCCAAGGCGAGCAAGCACTGTCCGTCTCCATAACTACAGTCATCGACACTCAGACGCGGCTTCCTCTCTGCCCACCTGCCTCCCCAGGGCTTCCACATTATTAGTTTAGCGGTGACAAATGTGCATGTCATAAAACTGACCCCTGTAACTATGCTCAGCTGTGTAGTCAGTGGTGCTGCTACGCTCACAGTGCCCCGTGACAAACGTCCAGATGTTTCATCTCACGGAACTGTCTACTGTATTAAACCACCCACTCTCCCCCTTCCCCAAGTCTACGCTCTGAATTTGTCTGTTCTATAATGTCTGTGCATGAGATCAGATAGGATTGCCTTTCTGTGACCATCTTGCTTCACTTAGCATAGTGTCCTTAAAGCACATCCATGTTGTAGAATGTACTGGAATTTACTGCCTTCAGAAGGCAAATATTCTACTTTATCATTCATATATCTATTGATGAACACATGAGTTGCTTTTACCTCTTAGCCATACTGGATAATGCTTCTGTAAATATGTGTATGCAAACACTTGTCTCTAATTTATTTATTTATCTGTCTGTCTATCCGTCCATCCATCCATCCATCCATCCATCCATCCATCCATCCATCCATTTATGTGTATGAGTGTTTTGTGTGCATGTGTGCGCGTGCCTGGTGCCTGTGGAGGCAAGAGGAGAGTATTGGATCCCTTGGAAGTGGAGTCACAGATGATGTGAACTGCCATGTGGATGCTGGTGACTCAGCCTGGGTCCCCTGCAAGAGCAGAAAGTGCTCTTAACTAGTAAGCTATCTCTCCAACCCATTAAAATTTTATCTGACAGAGAAACAGTTGCTTTTCTGGGCTATGCTCAGAAGTGAAGTACCCGGATCCTGTGCAGTTCTGTGTCTCATACTGTGCGGATCTGTCACACTGTCGCATGTGGCCTAGGAGGTTCAGCGTGTTAGATAGTAGAAGCTGAAACTAACAGAAGGTAAAATTTTGTCTCATCTGTTTCTGCCACTTCCAAGGGCAGCAATTTGTCACTTACAGATCACCATCTGTGCGTCTCAGTTTGATCATCTAGAGAACGACACAGTAACTCCTGTCTGTGTGCTGGGCTCACTAGTTTGCTTGCTGAACGAATGATGGAGAGGTTGCAGTTGATGCTGGAACTACAGTTGTATGCAGACCAGTTCCTATTCTCATGCCATGCGCACCAAAACCAATCCTGAGTTGGTTAGTTGCAGGTGTCTTCTGAAATGGGATTGTTTGTATTATTTACTTTTTATTGCTGTGATGAGATACCATGATCAACATCAGTGTGTAGAAGGAAGAGTTTATTTTGGCTTACATTTCCCAAGGGGGGAGTCTGTAATATCAGGGGAGGCATAGGGGCCGTTGGTTGGGGCAGGAAGCTGAGGGAGCCCAACTTCATCGCATGCAGGAAGCAGAGAAGATGGAAGTGGCAGAGGCTGAAAACTTAAAAGTGCATTTCCAGGAACACACTGCCTCCAGCAAGGCTCCACCTCCTGAAGGGCGTGCACACCCCCACCCCCACCCACTCCCACACCCCCACCCCCACACCCACACCCCCACCCTCATTCCCCCACCCCCCACCCCCACACACCCACACTCACCCCCACACCCCCACACTCACTGGCACACCCACACCCATCCACACCCACACTCACCCCCACACATCCACACTTACCCACACACCCACACACACCTACACCCCTCATACCCACCCTCACCCCCACCCACACTCACATCCACACACTCACACCCCCACCCACCCACACAACCACACTCACCTCCCCCACATCCACACCCACCCACATTCACCTCCCCCACACCCACACACACCGACATCCCCCACCCCCATGCCCCCAAACCCACCCACACACACCTACACACTCACCCCCCACACACCTCCACACTCACCCCCACACCCACATACACACCCACACTCCCACCCACACCTACCCATACCCACCTACACACCCACACTCATCACCAGTTAGAACTAAGTGTTCTCATACACAAGTTTATGAAGATCATTTCCCTTTCAGACACCACAATCTTCTTGCATCAGTCAATCCATCTTCCCGGAGTGTTCAGATTCTCTTTTGTCTGGTGGACAGAGATTCAATAGAAAATGACAGTCAGCAGAAGTGCTGCTTCTTTCTGCAGGAGACGCTGAGATACACTGAGTGCTCAGTCACTAAGCATTCGTAGGAGTAAAAAATAGCGATGGAATTTGGAGATTGAAGGCGAGGAAATACATTTTTCCAGAAATGTTAAATAGATTTTAAGAAAAGGAGGGGCTGGGCAGTGGTAGCACACACCTTTAATCTCAGGAGGCAGAGGCGAAGGCATGTGGATCTCTGAGTTCAAGGCCAGCCTGGTCTAGAAGGGAGTTCCAGGACAGCCAAAACTGTTATACAGAGAAATTCTGTCTCAAAAAACCAAAACAACAACAACAACAACAAAAAAGAAAACAAAAAAGGAGGGACCCAGACATGGTAGCAAATGCTAATAATTCCGGCTCCAGGGAGCCTGAGCCAAGGGGGTATGGCCAACCTGGGCTACATAGTGAGACTCTGTCTACACTATGTCTAGCACCCATGAGGAAGTAGAGATGAGCCCAGCTGGAGGCTTTAAACCGAAATCTTAGATGCCAATTTTAGAGCACGTGAGGCTCAGAACTTCATTTCCAAGTGTTCAGAGAATATACTGTCATCAGGGCATCAAGCACAATGCAAGATAATCAGCGCCTTGTTTTTGACGACATTCTGCATTTAACGTCCAAGGTGACCTCTTGAATTCCATTGAGCAGTAAAAGGAAAGCTTCATTCGTGAAGTAATATTTCTGTTTTGTGTAAAATGGGAACTTCGTTTTTTCCTTTAGAGACGTTTTCCACTTAGTGGTAACAACTTGAGGGACAGCTTGGGCAGCAAGGAAGATGCTGGGCTGTCTGGAATATTTTACTGTTCTAAAGGCCGTGGACCATGACACTTGCTTTGATTTGCATTTGGACAAGCCCTGTATGGTGGTGGCAATGAGCCTGCATCGCAGTTCCTCAGCAGGTGCCTCTCTCCCTTCTCTACTCTAGGCAAACATGCAGAAGACATATTTGGCGAGTTATTTAATGAGGCTAACAACTTCTACATCAGAGCAAATTCTCTTCAAGACAGAATTGATCGCCTTGCTGTCAAAGTCACCCAGCTGGACTCCACAGTGGAGGAGGGTAGGTAATTGTGTGAAAGCCGTGAACTGCACACGATGTCGACACGACAGTAGCAATTAACAACTCCAGTGTGATTTCTGCGCTCCCCTTTGGCTAGCACACTGCCACTTATCTTGTCTCTTCCTAGAAGAATGGGAAGGGAATGCCCCATAACACTTGGTTAATTAGCGATTTTTTAAAAAGATTCACATTTCATCTACTTCATATGCCGTGCTCTTGTTTTTAAAAGTTGCAGATGTTACATTTGGATTCAATAATAATAAATAATCTTAGAATGGTCTCATTTTAACTGAGTTTTGAAGTTTTATTTACAGATTAAAAAATAAAATTTTAATAGCCACTTGGTCTGTTTGGGTAAGGAATTCATAGTATCTTTTAAAGAAGATTTATTTTGCTCGGCAATGGTGGCACATGCCTTTAATCCTAGCACTTGGGAGGCAGAGACAGGTGGATCTCTGTGAATTTGAGGCCAGCCTGGTCTACATTGTGAGTTCCAGGACAGGTTCCAAAACTACAGAGAAACCTTGTCTCGAAAACAGAACAACAACAGCAGCAACAACAACAGCAAAGATTGATTTTATTTTTTAATTACATGTCTCTCTGTGTGTGGGTAAGTGTAGATATCCATAGAGCCCAGAAGAGGGCATCACAGCCCCAGAGCTGGAGTTCCAGGCTGTTGTGAGCCACCCAGCGTAGGCACTAGGAACTAAACTAAGGTCCCTGCGAAAGCACTAAGTGCCCTTGTCTGCTGTGCTGGCTCTCCGGCCTCAGTGTTTTTATCTTCTCATCCACTTTGTAGATGTGCGTCACTGCTGGGTTTAGATTGTCTTTCTTGCTGGGTTTGTTTTTTGGCTTGTAGAATTGAAGGCTCATGATAAACTCTACACTGGAAAAGGTGACTGGGTTAAATGCTAGAAGTTTCAGGGAGTGTGTCCTATCTTTGAATTTCTTTCCTGGCACAGTTTTACTCTATTGTTTGCATTGGCATAAATATTAACATTGCAGAGACCTTTTCCTAAAAGCTAAGGAATCTGGGTCCCTTCTCTAGGCTGCCACTTTATTGGTGATGTCACACAAGGTATATGAGTTACAGTTTTGATGACCTAGTGGGAGGGCAAATGGGACCAGTTTGGATACCTAAAAGAGTTGTCAAAGTTGGATGAGTTAAATACAATGTAAAAGTTGTGAAAAAAATGCAAGAAGGCTCCCACACCCAATCAGCTGAGAGCTTACTTAGCTTAACTTGTTTTCCAGATCGAAATGCTGTTGTGTGGGTCAGAGGTGGAAAACCTTCAGGGTCTCTGTTCCCCATCAATGTGAGAGTAGGCTGCTCCCATCTGTATATTGTTCTGTGCAGGTATCACGCTGATCTTGTTCCTAATGGTTTCTCCTAAGATACCCAGAGCTGTGCGTGTTGCCTGCTGTACTCATCGGTTAGCTGGGTGGTGTCTGAGAAGTGCTACTTAAACAACAGCAGCAAAAAGATCCCCTGATCCAGTGAACTATTTCTGTTGTTACAAAAGAAAACAAAGCTATAATTTGACCTCATGTCCTAGGGAAATCTTATTCTTTAGAGGGAGGAAAGGGCATTCTGGTTATGCAGGTTTTAAAGGAGCAACAAAAACTGTCATTTCAGGAGCTAGAGCAATGACTCATTGGTTAAGAGTGTTCTGTGCTCTTGCACAGGACCTGGTTCTCAGCAAACCACATTGGAAGGCTCACAACTGCCTATGACTCAAGTTCCAGGGGATCCAGTGCCCTCTTCTGGCCTGCGCTGGCACTGCACACATCCTTCAAGCACATGTAAAATAAAGTGTTTCCAAAAAGCCAATATTGGGTCATTCTGGGAGGTGTTTCTGATTCTGAGTCAAATAATGATGCTTATTTCTAAACAGAAAATACTTCTATGTAACTCAACCTGGGGGACTTTTCTCTCCATAGTCTCACTACAGGATATCAACATGAAGAAAGCGTTCAAAAGCTCTACCATCCAAGACCAGCAGGTGGTCTCCAAGAACAGCATTCCCAACCCTGTTGCTGACATTTACAACCAGAGTGACAAGCCTCCGCCCCTGAACATTCTCACACCCTACAGGTACGGCTCCCTCCCGGCTTCCCCACACCTTTGCAGTGGAGGCGGATGGATGCTTCGACAGAGGCAGAAATGTGCCAATGTGCTGGGTGGGGCCACCTTGGGAGGCTCCTTTGGGTTGAAAAGAACATTTTGAGAACAGTTAACTGCTGCATCCCTACCCAGTGAAGTGAGCCATGGCTACAGAATTGTTGGAGTGTGAGTTCTGACATTCACACTCAGACACAGAGATCTTCAGCGGAAGTAGCACTTCGTGCTGCGCACCAGGTGTGGTTATGCCGTTCCTTCTGTTCCAAGCTCGCTGGAGAGAAACGGCACAGTTCGCTTGTAACATGGTGAAATCCTCGTCCCAGCCCTTCGGCACCACACAGACAGCTGCTGTTCTGCGGTTGCTGTGATGGTTGGGCGTATCGGGGACAGATTCCGAGAGGCAGAGTAGAAAAGCAACAGTGCAGCGTTCGTAGGAAGAGACCGCCTGCCTGCACACACTCTCAGCAAGCACTGAGTGTCGCTCCCATCCCCATGCTGTTTCTTCTCATGCATCCTGTCATCACCTTTGGACCTTTCTTTCTCACGCTTACTGTCTCCTTGTCCTCCATGGTGGGCCTTGTCCCTCTGCCCATCTTCCCTCCGCTCTGTGGATCTCACTTCAGCAGCATCTGCGGGGCACAGAGGTGGTAGCCAATCGTGTTCACTTCCCAGAGTCAGGCCTGCAACTGAGTGACTGTGATGGCCACGGAGAAGCCTGTGTGTTCTTTGTCTGTGGTTGCCATCCTGACATTCCTGCTACAGGGCCTTTTGGTCCTCCTCACAAGGGCCCAGGCTCTTGGTCTGGTTTGGAGTAGCCTCGGTAGGAAAATTGGTAGTGTCAGCTTTTCTTTCTGCAGGACAGAGAGATTCTGTCAGACAAATGGGCACATACCCTGGATATGGGAGCTGGGCAGTGTCACGTAGCACGAATAATAAAATCCCAGAGACAGATATTGGGGTTCAACCTGAGGATCAGAAAAGCAAAGCAGCTAAGCCACTAGAGAACTCTTACCTCCTTGAAATCTTCAGACTGAAAGAGAGCGAGTTACTGTCCCATCCTGCCTAGTGCTGGGGTAAAGACGTGCACCACCACCGTCCAGCCTCTATGGCTAACAAGTATAACTATTGGGATTAAAGGTGTGGGCCACGACTGCCTAGCCTGTTTGACTGACTATGTGACTGCTTTGTGTTTTGTTCTTCATGCAAGCTTTCTTTATTAAAATACAAGTGAAATATCACTATGGTATCTCTCGGCTTCAATGGGACAAGTGTGCTTTCCTAGAATTTAGAATACACATACTTAAAACTAAGATGTGTCTGAGTAGAAACCTCCCTCCTGCTCACCTTTTTTTTTCCCTACTTAATTGGTTTCTCTCTCTCTCTCTCTCTCTCTTTCTGTTCCTTTATTTGGACATAAATTTTCTCCTATCTCTGTATATTTAACTGACTTTGCATCTCCTATGGTCATATATAATTTAGTGGAATATTGATATATAGAGTAAATATACTGTTTAATTTTTTTTTTTTTTTTTTTTGGGTTTTTTTTTTTTTTTTTTTTTTTAAGACATGATTTCTCTTTGTAGCCCCTGGCTGTTCTTGAACGAGCTCTGTAGATCAGGCTGGCCTTGAATTTACAGAGATCCACGTGTGGCTGCCTCCTGAATGCTGGGATTAAGTACATGCACCATCACCATCTTGCCCTCCTGATTTAATTTTGAACATAGTGTCCACATTACATCATGACTGTTCCAAACATTGCTAAAAAAGTTTATTAATTCTTACATTTTTATTCTGAGAGCAATGGGAAGCATTGTTAAGAGATTCAGCTTTAATTTTTGATTATATATCTGTCTGTGTGTATGGACCCAATAGTACAGTGTCATCAGAGGCTGGGAGAGGGAGGTGGAGTTAAGGCAGTTGTGGGCCACCTGGCATGGTGGCTTCTGGAAGCTCAGGTCCTCTGGAAGAGAGGTTGGAGCTTGTGACTGCTGAGCCATCTCTCTAGCCCCTTGAGCAGTGCTATTGATTCCTACTATAACCTTAATTCATAGTGGCTACGTTGTTACTGGTTAAATAAGGGAGTAATTTCCATATGACTTGAAATATTATTTAGGCTATAGTAATCATAGCTTGATTACTATACTGACATAGCCACGGGGAATGAAGTTTCTTGAAAATGCATTGTGTTTCGGTCGCATCCATCTACCACAAACATTTTGCCTTCTTTATCAAATGGTGCGGAGTAAACCTGAATTGACAATAGGGGACAGAACACTTACTAGTCTGTATCATAACTGTACTGAAGTTCCCAGTAGAAGTTAGTGTACACCAAGCATCCAGCTGCCTCTATATGTAGCTTACTGTTGGAGTAAACCGAATAGGTCCTTAAATTCATGAGCTATTGAAACTGGATATTTCTGAGTTGTGTGGAATTTTCACAGAGGACTTGCACCTAGTTAGCTCTCAATTTCTAAGACTGTAGAGTTAATTGCTTTTGTTCCTGTTTCCCTGTTTTTCCAAATAGGCAGTTTAGCGTATAATACATAAGGTGGTTAGGATGCCGGATGCCTCATGCAGGCGTTAGGATCCAAAGCGTTAAATTTAATGTCACCATCCCTATGACGGCCACTGATGGTCTTTCTTGCCCTGACTTTGAATGCATTGGTCCATAGGGATGACAAGAAGGATGGGCTGAAGTTCTACACGGATCCCTCTTACTTCTTTGACCTCTGGAAAGAAAAGATGCTGCAGGACACAGAAGACAAGAGGAAGGAGAAGCGACGTCAGAAGGTGCGTGGCTTGGTGGATGCACTCATCAGTGTGCACCCGGGTCCTTTGCTCAGATGGTTGCTCAGGTTTGCTCAGGGGACCCCCTTTTCACACGACAATCCTGACACTTTAGCACAGCAAGGCTATTTTTAAATAAATAATGGCAGGATTTGTTCTACAGCACTTGTATGCCTCTAACAAAAGAAGTGAAGAACTCTTCAGTTTGTTTTCTCACCGTGTTTTGTCACTCCTGTCCCTTTGCCCCCTTGGAGCTCCATAGAACAGTCACTGCTCCTGTCTGGCATTGGGGAGTTTGTCTTACTCCTATTCATGTTGTTGGGGTGCCACCTCACTGAGACTGAGGACTTGGTAAGGCATTTGAGAGAGACTGGGAAGCGTGAGTGAGCTGTGCTTTCAGAGATATTTCCTAGAAATGAGCCTCACCTTGAGGAGCAGGGAGGTAGACGAAGAGAGCATGATCAGAAGCAGCCACCCTGCACTCCGTCGTGGAAGGACAAGGTGACTCATTCAGGTTCTGGGACTTCCACTTTGAAGCGTGCCCCCTTAGGACTGAGAGTTTAGATTTTTTTTTTTTTTATATAAATTGTGTTCAGAAATCAACGCCCTAGGCCAAATGGGGAGGCAGAAGCAGGCAGATTTCTATAGCTTCAAGACCAGCCTGGTCTATGTAACAGATTCTAGGCCAGCCAAGGCTGCATACTGAGACCTTGTCTCAAAAAGAAAAGCACCAAACACAAACCAGAAAAACAAGAACAAACAACAATAATATAATATTGTCGGGTGGTGGTGGTGCTCACCTTTAATCCCAACACTTGGGAGGCAAAGGCAGGTGGATCTCATGAGTTCCAAGCCAGCCTGGTCTACATAGCTAGTTCCAGGACAACCAGGGATACACAGAGAAACTCTGTCTCGAAAAATTAACAAAAACAAACAAACAAACAAAAAATATAATACCAAAACAACCACCCGACTTGCTTGACAAATACTGGATCATATTGGAAGAAATACTTAGCATTTTGTGGGGTAGTCTTGAGGTTTGAAGCATTTAGATGTATTGACCTAATTGGAGTGAGCGTTGAAGATAATTAAGAACTTGAGGTTTGGAAATAGAATTTTTGTTTGTTTGTTTTTTTGAGACAGGGTTTCTCTGTAGCTTTGGAGCATGTCCTGGAACTAGCTCTTGTAGACCAGGCTTGCCTCGAACTTACAGAGATTCACCTGTCTTTGCCTCCCAAGTGCTGGGATTAAAGGTGTGCGCCAACCACCACCTGGCTGGAAATAGAATTTAAGAACAGGCCAGGCGTAGATCGTGTGCAGGTCTTGGCTTCACTTCAGAGAGAAGATGAGACAGAGAGTGGGTAGAGGTAGTGAGGAGGAGGGTGCCCCAATTCTGAGTCAGGGTTTGTAAAATGTGTGTTTGATTATACTCTCTTCTTACACTCACGGTGTGCACAGATGTAACTGGGGACTCTGGGAAGAACTGCTGAGTTTTACAAAGAAGTCAAGCGAAGTCGTCATGGAAGAAGAAGCGTAGTGAAGGGCATTTTTCTCCAACGCACCACACCTTTCAGTGAAAAACCCAGGACTTTCAGGATGGCCTTCCAGGGATGCTTCCTGCCCTCCCGAAAGGCCTTCCTTTCTTATGCTCCTTGTCAGGAGAGGGTTTCCTTTCTGAAAATTTTATTTGTTTGTTTGTTTAATGTGGATAGATGCTTTGCCTGTATGAATATCGTGTGTCACGTTAGTGGCTGGTGCCTACAGAGGCCAAAAAAGGTGTCAGATGCCCTGAAACTGGAATTACAAATGGTTGTGAGCCACATGTAGGTGCTGAGAATGGAATCCAGGGCCGCTGGAGGAGCAGCCAGTGTTCTTAACCCCTGAACCATCTCTCCAGTCCTGAGTATTTACTTTCCTGGTCAGTAGCCTGTTGAAAGAAAATTCTTTTGTTGTAGCTGTCATATAGTCATTGTTCTTATACTGGTTTCATAAGGACATTGCTCGCTCTCTCTCTCTCTCTCTCTCTCTCTATCTCTCTCTTTCTCTCTCTCTCTCTCTCTCTCTCTCTCTCTCTGTGTGTGTGTGTGTGTGTGTAATAAAATCTAGGATCCATAAATGAAGAAATACATGTGATATTTGTCTTTTGGAGTCAGACTTAATTCACTTAATATCAGAATTTTCAGTTGATGCATTTTCCCGCATTCTCTGTAGCTGAATTCAGTTCGCTGTGCCTGAATCCGACATTGTCTTTATCCATGCCTCTGCTGACAGTCAACAATTAGCTGTTGTGAGCAACACTGCAGCAAAGCTTGGGGAGGAACCATCTCTTTGATAAGTTGACTTAGAGCCCTTTGGGCAAATCCTCGCAGTGGGGGAGCTGGTCTGGTTTGGGTTTCAGCGAACTCTATCCTGCTTCCCTAGATGGGGGATTCATTACATTCATGCCTAGAAAGTCTTTATGGTTCCCTCCTCTCTCTGTCCTCTTAGGCAGTGCTTTCCTTAATGAGTGCTATTCTGGCTGAGTTGAGACAGACTCTGTGTGTAGCTGTCATCTGGGTTTCCTAAAAAGGTTCTTGCAGGGCTCCTTTCTGTGGTCTGTGAATTTGCATATCATCGAGGGCCAGTGGGGTGGAGCAGTTTTTCCATGCAGTTACCTGGGGTCTTACTCCTCGATATGTATATGTTAAATCATTCCCATACCCCCACAATGAGATCAGTTTGATCATGGTGAGTGATTGTTTGATGTGTTCTTGAGCTCCATTTGCAAGCATTTTACTGCAAATATTTGTGTCTCTGATAAGGGAATCTTTATTCTGCTTTTGTATCTGGGTGATACTGGTTCTGTACAGAACATTTGGTGGCATTTCCCCCTTTCTAGTCTAGGATACAGTGTGAGAAGCATCCCCGTTAGCCTCATAAAAGCCAGCAGCGACTCCAGCAGGCACTTGGAGTTTTTGAGAGATTTTTTATTTATTTTTTATTTCTGCTTTCAGTGCTGCTTTTTCTAGAGTTTTAGAAAGGCATCCATTTCTTTCATGTTTACCAGCTTACTTAAAGCAGGTCTTCGGCTGTGGCCCAGTGAGTGAGCTTCTGAGTTTTGTGTTGTCTATTCCTGTATTTCCTTTTTCATCTCTAATTCTATTAATTTGTGTCCTGTTTGGATTCTTTCCATTGGTTTGACTAAGCGTCAGCCTTACTTATCTTTTCAAATAACCAGCCCTTTCGTTGATTTTTTTAAAAAATTTCTTTCTTTCTTCCCTGATGTCTGCTATCTCGTGTGTGTTGTTTCAGAACCTCTAAACACCTCTGAAAACAATCCACTCTATCTACTGCCTTAAACTGCAGACAAGATGGCATTTGGTATATATATACACACATGTACATATTTAAATATAGGAATGTATTTAACATATATTAGACACATATTTGTGTCTAATATAAAGTTGTGTATAAGATATATCACATTTTAAAATATAGATACATTTATATTTTACCACATTCAATAGAGACACTTGTTTATGCCAGCTTTCAGACTTCCCCTTCCAGAGTACAAGCTCTATGAAGATAGAAACTGTGTGTGTGTGTGTGTGTATGTGTGTGTGTGTGTGTGTTTGCCATTGTGTCAACAGTGCCTGCTGAGTGCTGAGCATGGTCCCTGGGACATGTGTGTGGCTTTGATCATTCAGCCCGCATTTATTGAGTGTATGCTTCCTGAAAAGTTCAAGCAGTGTGGTGAGGTTCATGGTGGGGGCGGGGGGAGGATACAACCTTTGTTAAGAAAGATTATAGATGCCTGTGTAAGGAAAAGGACAGATGTGAGCTGTGTAGGTGCACAGAGAGGGTCTCACCTTGCAGGAGGGGCTTGTATGGGGCCACAGTGAGCACTGAATGTGCCTTAGCTGACAAACAGGACTGGTATAAGACTGACTTTGTGTATGAACAGGTAAGTTTTATTTGTGTGTGTGTGTGTGTGTGTGTGTGTGCGGGCATGCACACTCATGTAGGGCATTCAAAGTATGTCAATGAAGGAAATGATTTTTATGAATGGTTTTACCAGATACTTCATATGGGCAATGCAGGTCTAGGTGTGAGCGTGTTAAACAGGCCATAACCCTAGCAATCAAGAGTCCTGTCCTAAAGGCGAAGGTAAGCACCATAGTGGGAGTGGGAGCCTTTTGTTTCTTTAGAGACCCGCTTTATTTCTGATGGACCTGGTGGGCCCGAGGCATATGCAGTCAGGTATAGCAGTATGAAAATGCCTCTTGTGTGTGCACCAGGCTTGTTTTCTGTGCATTTAACTGCATCTAACCTGCTGTTTTCCTTTCCCTTCTGTCTTGGCATGCTTGCTTTCTTTTCCTGGACATCAGGAGCAAAAACGTGTAGATGGCACCACCCGTGAGGTGAAAAAGGTTAGAAAAGCCAGAAACAGGCGGCAGGAGTGGAATATGATGGCGTATGACAAAGAGCTTAGGCCGGACAACAGGTTGTCTCAGAGTGTGCACCACGGAGCATCCTCCGAGGGATCTCTGTCCCCAGATACTAGGTGTGTGCATGTTATGGACCCCTCTCCCCATGTTTGAGCCCCTGTATTTTGGGTTTCTGTGTGCCCCACTTTGTCCTTGAAAATGACATCTATATTTTGCTTTCAAAACAATGCCTTAAGGCAGCGCTGTTTCAGGTTGGGTGACTTTGCATGCTTTTTCAACTTTCTTAAGTTTGTTCTGGGGTTAATCGGGAGAGTGGAGTTTAAATGTGGATTCTGAACAGGGGTGACTGCCAATGACTTGAATTTTGCTTAGGTGTCCCTTACTACTTTAATGGAGAATGTTGAATTTCCATTGTTCTTTGTTTCATTGTTTATGATCATGGGAGGCCTTCATTTGAAGAAGACTCGGACACCAGAGGGCTTGATGTCTCGCTCCAGATAACTCATCTTACATGTTTCATTTCAGGAGGACGTGCTAACGAGTATTCTTTTAAGAGGTGGCAGTTCCTAAGTAAGAATATTTCTTGCAGGTGCAAATGGTGGAGTCATAAGGTTACATTTGTCACCGAGACCCACGGACAACTGACCAGCCAGTTTTAACTTTGGCTTAATGTCTTGCTTCTGTCTTATTGAATCGTTGTGATCCATTTTTGTGGATTTTAGCATTTACAAGTTAGAATTCAAGCCGGGTGCACGGCTCAGTTGGAAAAGTGATCGCCTGGCAGGTGTGAAGCCTGAGTCTGAAGCCTGGCATGTCATAAGCCTAGCGAAGTGGTACATGCCTCTAATCCTAGGGCTCAGAGGTGGAGGCAGGATAGTCAGAAAATCAGGGTTGTCCTAAGCTACATACCTGGGGCTGTCCTGGGATACAGGAGACTCTATGTTTAAAACAACAACAACAATAGCAACAACAAACAAACCACCAAGTGTTTATCAAGGACAGTAAAAAATAGCAAGAAATCAAGTACATACCGTAGCTTGATCTCTTCCCTTTTGGTTCTTTCTTCTTTTCACTATTAAAACCTCAGCGTTTAGAGCAGTCTCTACCTTCCCAAGGACTATGTGGGTGTTTGCTATGAGACATGTTTAGGAGTTGCAGGGCATTTGATACTGCTTCCTGCCCAGGCCTGTGAGTTCTGAAAAGGCCCACCCTAGGTATTCTTTCTGTACACTTTCTACCTTAAGTATTCAGAGAGATCTGGGAGCTTTGGGTTCTAGCCTCACAACTGAACATTAGAGTCAGTTTGTTGATATATAGTCTGCTCCTCAGGTAAGGGCTGCAGGGACCCAGGAGTCCTCACTGGCATCAGTTGTCCTGACAAATAGCTTAGCTGGGATTTTAGTTTTGTCACGCAAAGCACATACCCATTTTCTCTCCATCTGCACTCCAATTTAAACTTGTGTAGATGGAAAACCTGTGGATTTCTTTAGCTTCTCAGTTGAAGCCGTCTCATCCTACCACCTGAGTTGAGATTATTTCATGCCTGACATGATGCTGATGGCCATTGGAATTATTTTATACTTTGCCTGTATGCTCACATGGTCTAGATAAGGTTTCATTTCTCTTAGCTTACAAAAACAGAGCTAGGTGGATCATTTTGTCAGAACTTGCTTTTGTCTCATAGTCTTTCCCAAGACTTACTCTTGGCATACATAACTTACCAGCAAAGAGATCACAGTTCCTCATTGGTTCCTCATTGGGCTTAGACTGAATACCTTGAATTAATATGGGAAGTATGGCTTATTTTGTTAGATCTGCTGCCTTTTCTCTTTTTAAGAACACGCTGACTTTAGTTTTTTGTATGTATTTGTACATGACAGTGTGTGTGTGTGTGTGTGTGTGTGTGTGTGTGTGTACAGTTCCTGCAGAGGCCAGAATAGGGTATCAGATCCCCTAGAATTAGAGTTACAGATGGTTTTTAACTGCTGTGTGAAAGTGGGAATCTAACCTGGGTTCTCTGCAGGAGCAGTCACTGTGTTTAGCTGCTGGGTCGTCCATCACTCCAGCTCTAACTTTATCTTGTTATGGAAGAAAACATACTTATATCTGGATATTACAGAAAGACATTAAAATTAAATACCCATCCTGATGTTATTCAGAGAAGCCTACTTGCATTTTGCTGTGTCTGTCTTTAGTCTTTTCCTGTACCTGTGTGGGATATAATCTTTACAAAATTAGAATCATGCTGTACATTTTTCATTGACTTCTCTTACTTTTTTTTGCGTTGTTTTGCTTTGTTTTGTTTGTTTATTTGTCGGTTTGAGACAGGGTCTCACTTTATAGCCCTGGGAGCCCTGGAACTGGCTTTGTAGACCTCAAACCTACAGAGATCCATCTACCTCAGCCTCCAAAGTACTGGGATTAAAGGCATGCACCACCATACCTAGCTCTTTGACTTCTTAAAAATATATTATTTTTAAATATTATTTGGTAAAAGTATGATTTTTAGTGGTGTATTAAAGATACCAATGAAAGCTTAATCTCAAGTTTCATGGTATGTGTACAAGACAGTGAGCTAAACTTCAGTTCTGCCTTCTTCCTTACAGATTGCTAGGCATGGCTTGTCTCCAACTGTAAGTTTCAGATAAACAGTTGATGGAATGTTCTCTATAGTCAGAAATTAGTGCATCTTCACATGCAGCCTGCCTTTGTTTCTCCCATCCAGTTCTGGGCCATGCTTTAGTGCTGTGGCTTTGCCCACCTGCCTCTCTACAAACCCTGGGGATTGATGGGATTCTCCCAGTAGGTGAACAGCCCTTTTCCTGCCTCTTTATCTTAACCCACCCGTTCTCTCTGCTGCAACACATGGAGGCTGACTTTTGCAGAGCCCCAGGATCACGTCCCTCAGCATCAGGTTGGTGGTGTGCCTCATGGCAACTTCTGCCTGCCCACCAGTCAGCATCCTCTGAGCCCTCCGTCCCCACAGCCTGTTGGCAAGCCCTGTTTCCTGGTCCTTCACGCTTCACCTGGTCAGTCCCCATTACTTCTCCTGTTTTCACCCTTCATCAGAGTCCTGCCCTGTAGAAATCTTATATTTTCCTTTTCCCATCAATTGTGTGTCACCTCTGTCTTGGTCTTGGCTCCTTTTTGCTATTTCTCAAATCTGTTTTCCAAAAATGGAGTTCTCATTTGTACCACAGAATGTGCGGTATCCTGTCCTGTGTCTCACTGGAGGCATTCCATGCTGTCTTGGGTGACAGTTTGTTTAGAGAGTGACACATCAGTCAGATAGTTACTTAGCAGAGTATGGGCATCACCAGTGATACTATAGTTTTAGATCCATTTATACTTTTGAAATGCACTGAACCTGAGTACAGGACAGACAGCCTCTATCTCTAAAATAGTGTGACTCAGTTGTTAGTGGTCGGACATCACCACGTGTACATTGCAAACTAGACCACAGCTCACAAACAGAGGAGAGAAATCAGCTGTTAATTCTTATGCTATAGTTAGGGGACAGCGGGGAGGAGTAGATTCTTCTGACTTGGTCTGTGCTCCAGTCGGGGAAAGCCACTCACAAAGCCCCAAAGGCAGACGTGAGCTTGTATCTTCGTTCCTGCTCCCTCTACATCCCCAGTGTATGTTTACCTGTTTCCCTTCAGAGAGAGAAACACAAGCTGAGTCCTAACAGGAACCAACAAGTCTATGTGAGAAAAGTCAGAACGAGAAGAGAAGAGTGGGAGAGGAGGAAAATGGGCATTGAGTTCATGAGTGACGCAAAGAGACTGGACCAGGCAGGGAGCGCCAAGGAGGACAGGAGGCCCAGAGGGTTTGTCATTTTGCTTTCTTGAATTGCCAGCCCAAGGTCAAGCTCTGCTTCAGCATCATGAGAGGATATGCAGCCCCTACTGACTGTCCTTAACTCAGGCGAGATCGTGTGCCTACTACTAACATGCTTGTGGCTGCTCCGTATGCCGGTTCTTACCCTCCTCCCATCCAGGCTCCACAGGATGCCCATCATCAGCCTCTTTAAAACTGCTCACTAACTCACTCAAGGTCTCCTTTCCTTTTAGAGCTCTGTTGTGACGGTGTGCTCACAGCCCAGGAAAACTGCCAGTGTTGCTTTTCCTTCTTTGAGTAAAAAATATTCATGTCATTTAAGACAAGTGCAGCTCACTATTGCATGGTGGACCCCCACTCTCCTTGCTGTTAACATGTATCCAGTTCACCTGCCGTCTAATTATATGCTGTCATATTTTATTGCCTCTGAAGTTCTCTGTCCATCTGAGATATTGTTTGTAAATGAAATGGGGTTTGACATATAGCATTGTCTTCATGAAGAAATACATGGAATGCTGTGACAACAAGGCTCTGCCGGTCCCCGCTTACTGGTCTGACATATCAAAGCATCAACTCTGAATCCATCTAACACTGGGGCTTGCTGCTAAAATAATTGTGTTGTGCTTGGACGCGCTCATGGGACTGGATCTAGCTGTTCAGTTAAAGGAATAACTTTAACTGTTAAGAGGAATAACTGTCCCAACCTTGCGTACTGACAATGCTGTTATTCGTAGATTATGCACCTACCTCTTAGGGGACATTTTTAAAACTCTGATTTCTCTCATCCCCTTTCCTCCGAAATCAGGTCTCACACATCCGACGTCACCGATTACTCTTATCCTGCTACTCCCAGCCACTCTTTGCAGCCACAGCCGGTGACACCGTCCTGCCCAGCTGGTGATGCACCGCTGCACGGAGCCACAAACCAAGGCGCTGAGCATGAGTGCCGACCTTCCTCTGCCTCAGCAAGGCACATGGCTCTAAACAGACCTCAGCAGCCACCGCCCCCACCTCCTCCTCAGGCCCCAGAGGGGTCCCAGGCTTCTACTTCAGTGGCTCCAGGCGACTATGGGTAAATTGCTACTCATGTTCATGTTGCTCTTGAATTTGTGTCTTGGTAGACACAAATTTATCACATAGAATATAGTCAAGAATGATTGGGCTTAGTGTCAGTGTTGACAGACAGAATCTGTGTCAAATAAAATAGAACCCTGCCACTGACCATCTCATTTTGTAGCCACATCTCCGGTGGACAGTGTGTTTGTGTTGTCCCTGTTCATATACTACTCTAGGCATCAATAAAGCCTAAAATGCTTATTTGTGAGCCTGCCCACCCCTCGAGTTCTCAGGGAGTGCTGGTCATAGACAGTGGGAACATGGAGTGCCTCTCCTCACCATTCATCCTGCATCCCCCTTTCTCAGCCTCCGGGCTCCTGGGGGTTTCTGCCCTACACTTCTTGTTTTCTGCTCTGTGAGTTGAATGCCTCCACTGTGTACAGACCCTTCCTGATCATGTGTGAATTCATTTGGACCCCTCCCCTTTATTTTGGTCAGTTATTGTTAACTTTTTCAGAATTATTCTTTAAAATGCTCCCTAGTTTCTATGCCCAGGAAAGTTGAATGTAGCAATGTGTCTTCACCTGAGTGCTGGCCCTACTTTCCAATTGTACCCACAGTTTGAAAAAGGAGACCAGAGGTTTTAGGTGTCTCCTATCCTTAGGTCTTGGCTAAGCTGGGATTACTTGAATGTGTTTTAAGGCTGCTACGTCAGGAGGATGGAGAGTCTGTGATTTTGAAAACCATTGCCCTGTCTCTTGGGGTGTTTGACATGCTGCTGGTCACCTTAATGCTGGAGATTATCATTGGACAGAGGCAGAGAAGACAGCATCCTCCTAACCCCTGTCTCCTTGACCTCAGAGGCCTCCTGAGATAAAGTTAGGAGCTATACAGCATCTTTGAGATACCCAGGATGGAAAGGGTACTAGTCTTCTATTGATGTATATGTCCCTAGCCATCCACAAGAATTCACCATGCTTTTCAAATGGTTGTCTTAGGTACATTTCAGTGGGTTTTCATTGTCACAACGAATAATGTAAAACTGGAAGGAACTGATTCTCAGAGTGGACACATGTACCCCGCAGTGACTATCCAGCTGGCAGCAGCATGCACTGTCTTTGAAAGGATCCCCTCGATAAGCTCTATTAGAAATAGGAAGATGTAATCCTCCCTGTTCACTTGGGTGACTGTATTTTATTGTTCCTTAGGGTGCTTCCAGCACAGATAATTGAATACTACAACCCCTCAGGACCACCACCACCTCCCCCTCCACCCATGATTCCTTCAGCACAAACTGCCTTCGTTAGCCCTCTACAGATTCCTGCACAGCCCCCATTCCCCGCCTCAGCTGGTTCCACGTACCCTGCTCCTTCTCATCAGCCCTCCACTGGGCTCCTGGCCACAGCACCGCCTCCTCCAGGTCCCCCACCTCCTCCACCTGGCCCTCCTGGCCCCTCTTCTCTTTCATCCTCCCCACTGCATGGTCCCACTGTCACTGAGGCAAAGCGCCCAGAACCTACACAGCCACCCATAAGTGATGCAAGAAGTGACCTCCTGGCTGCCATCCGGATGGGTAAGTGCACACCCCATGTCATAATCTCCCTTTTGGAAGAGCCTGCTTTGGGGTTCAGTTGACTACACTACCCTCAAAAGATAACTGCACGTTCTGTCATTTGTTACTTTCTTAATAAGTTGGAATTCTTTTACAGGTAATGTGGAAACACATTATAATAAAAAGTTAAAAGTTCAGGAAAGGTGTACTTGATAAGAAACCAGAAATTAAACATCAAATGATAGATTAAGTAATAGGACCTTTCTCCGCTTTGTACCACAAGAATAAAATGGAAGAAAGTGAGCCGGCAGCAATGGGTTCATTGTAAACAAATCTAAGTTTACTCTGGACTCATCAGAGAAGCTCGACATGCTAAGCCAGTGGCTCTGGCATTTATTCAGTAGCATACAGATTGTGCCAGGCAAAAGTCTTGCTCTCACCCCCGTCCCCAACGCAGGGGTGGTGTCATTTTCATCATGTATACTCACTAGAGGGAGCCCAGCCCTTGCCTGTTTGACTACCCCAGGGCCTTCCAGGAAGACCTGTGTGTAGAACCATTCATCCTTAACCAGTCAAAGCCCACGGTGGCCGAGAAAGCAACAGACTGTGGAATATGCAGAGAACTTGAGCCTTAGGGAACTGTATGGCCTCCTGGTTACAGTTTGTTTGTCTCGGCTGAAAATAAGTGAGAGCAGTTGCTGGTCTGCAACCCTAGGAACTGCACTGGTATAATACCCTTGACAGAACAGATGCAGCTGCCTCTGCCTGAGCTCATTGAATTAGGCCAATGTGCTCACAAACACTACTAAAAAAAATTCCTCCAAGTACTTTGAACATCATTGATAGACCAGTTTTTTTTAAGAGATGAAGTCTGAAAGCCAGAATACCTTAAGTGTGTGTGTGTGTGTGTGTGTGTGTGTGTGTGTGTGTGTGTGTGTGTCTGTCAGCTTTCCAGTCAAAGGAAGAGAGTACTAGATGTGCTCCTGTACACTCGTGGCCAGTCTAGGGAGTCCATAACCAGTGACTGCCATGCTCCTGAAGACCATCGACATTCTCTGCAGGTCTGAAGCTTGTGAATGCAGAGATCAAAGCACAGTCCAGATTAAAGCTTACCAGAAATGGGGGCGAATAAGGAAGGAGATGGTTGAATCCTGAGCCGGGGAAAATGCCCCCAGTAGATTGACTTAGTGGTGGCATTTGAATAATGTTTATAGAGAAAATAGTAACAATGTTTATCTATGATACCTTCTGGTTTTGTTGTTTTCTTTAGGAAAGACCACGTGGAGTATTTTAGTGGTGTATGGACATTATGTGCCATGTAACTCCTGAACGGTCCAGAGAAAAGTGAATATGTGATGGCATGTGATGTGATGTGTGTGTGTGTGTGTGTGTGTGTCTGTCTGTCTGTCTGTCTGTCTTTGTGTGTCTGTGCCTATGTCTGTATGTCTGTGTGTGACAGATTGGGAAAGCTTGTTCCAGCATTGTCAGGGCAAATAATGTGGGGATATTTTCCTTCTGATTTCATAGCTAGCCTATAAGTCTGAAATTCTTTCAAAGAGAAAAGTTTAACACGGTCCAGGTTAAATTCCCTGCATATTGTGTTACCACCCAGTTGTGCAGAAGGTTGTATTTTGTGTTCACTACCTGCAGTAGACTTAGCACATACATTCTCTCCGCCCTCAGATGGCCACCACCTTGTATTTGTAGACTCAGTAGAAACAGAGAGACCTGGTTTTTTTTTTTTTTTCCCTTACGAACTAGCAAAGAGACTGACTCTCCTTCCCACATTGTGTTTTCAGGAATCCAGTTGAAAAAGGTGCAGGAGCAACGTGAGCAGGAAGCCAAACGGGAGCCTGTCGGGAACGATGTGGCCACAATCTTGTCTAGACGCATTGCTGTGGAGTACAGTGACTCAGATGATGACTCTGAGTTTGACGAGAATGACTGGTCCGACTGAATCGCACAGGGCCAGGCAGCAGGGGGGACAGCCAGGGCACTGTATGGAAGTGTGTTAGGAGCGCGTGTGATCTCTGCACCCACATAGTGGTATTACCCTGTAGCTTTAGTAACTTTTGTATTAACAGTGTGCTATTGCTTCTGCACATCCTTCTGGATTGTTGAGTATTTACTGTGTAATACTTAAGTGCCACTAAACACAGCACAGCGTGCTGCACACCAGGAAATACGCTGTAACTAGTGCATAGTCCCGAAATAGCATCTCGCTTCCCTCTCAGCTGGGAGAGTCTTCACTCTTGTCCCTCCTGATTTGGCAGACTTGCCATGTGTCTGTGGAGCTGCCCAGCGTCAGGTCTTTGCAAGATGAATGGCTGTGTCGCAGTGATGTCTTCCAACCAGTAGGTGACACTGCTTTACTGTTTCTTTCCTCTGCAGGGTGATTTCCAGGTGGACTTGGTTCTAGAGGGAGAGGTTTAACAAGTCAGAATGAGACGTTTCTCTATTTGGACTCTTGGCCTGGTGGCCTCCAAGTGAATGAGTGTGCTCCGCTGCCCTTGTGTGCTCTGTTGCTTCTGTTACCTTTGCACCCACAACAGAGAGTTCCCTTTTCAAGCACGGGCCCCTGTGGGGACTCACGTGGAAAGTGCCCACTAGTGACTTCTGTTCAATTTCGCAAATGGAACTCACTATAGTGGCCAGCCCTGATAGTGTGGACACAAGTTAGCCAGGCCAGATGCAAGCTGCCCAGGGTCTGCAGAGCTTACATGGCAAAGCTGCCGCATCTGGTCCCCTCCTACCCCACCCAGTGCAGATGAGACCTACACATGTCATTTCCTGGGATCCCTGCTCCTCTGTTACCATGGAGAGAGCATAATTCAGCGCCTCACCCCACTTGCTCAGAACCTTAGGAGCTTGGGTTTAGCTGAGAGATGCCGCCAGCTGTTCACGACCCATGGTGCTGTGGCTGGATTCACACTCAGTCTCTCAAACAGGCCTTCACCCCTCCTGAAGCACAGTAATCTTTTCTCATGTTGTTGGCACATTTTAATTAAAAAGTACCTCACCATATAAACTGGATCCAGCCAGTTGCCATGGCAGAGAACCCTGACTTCCCCTCTGATGTCTGGTCCCTGGTGTAGGCGGGGCTCTGACTCCAGGAAGACAGTGTCAGCTTTGCTGGAGAAAGGACAGCTACTCATTTAGCAAGTCACTAGGTGTTCCAGGTGGGTTACAGATAGGACCTCATGGACGTGCTAGGATGTGGATTCCTCAGGACCCCTTACGTGCACACTTCAAATGGAGTGCGTCCACTGCAGATATTAGTATCGCTCACTTTGGATAAAAAGGAGAATCTAGAGCTGGGGCAAATTGTGTCCATTGATGCATAATGTCAGTGGGGTAGTAATGAGTGATGTTTGCTCATGAGTTTGGGGACATCACCCAGCTGCCCACATCACCCTCTGTGTGAGAGGACACTTGTCCACTTGGGCAGCCGTCTTGTAACACCTGACAGTAGTAGGTTTTAGTCATGTCGAATTGACACTAAAAACCCATCTACAGCCCCCTGCCTGTGTCCTGCTTTGGCACGTGTCCCAGTGTTCTCTGCTGCTGGGTGGGCTGGTATGCCCTTCCAGTGATCATCCTGGACCCTGTGCGCACATGGCCATTGCTGTGACTTGCTGTCATAGTAGTAATTTAAAGAAGCTTTTATGTTTCTTTCTCATTTCTATTTTTCCAGCATTGAGACCTACCGCGTTGGCATCATCCTCAGGACTTTGCCATTTTGAGTCTTTTGTTCTGCTCACAGTAGTTTGCCTCTGTTGTTCCCTGTGGACTCCAGAACTCACATTTGGCAGCACTCCTTCATTTGGTAGGGCCCTTACGTTCTCAGGGTGGAGGAAATACATTAAAGCTACCATCCATTGTCAGGATTTTTTTTCTGATATATCATAGTGAAGTTAGTGGCACTTTATTCATAAATATTTGGGAGCTTAACAATTGTTGGTTGTCTTATAGTTTCATCAACCAGTTAAGTTTTAGTTTGTTTTTATAGCTAGTGAGAAATCTTTTGCCCAATGTATTCTGTAACTCTTGAAAGAATAGAAAGTGGCTAAAATCCAATTTAGATTACCTTTAGAGTATCTTTCGGCAAATCTGATCTAGTCTAAAATTTAAACCCAAGTTGCTTCTAATACTTTACAGAAGAGCACAAAGCAAAATGTTTAAATTTTCTGTTTCTATTTTTTAAAACTATCCTCTAAAACAAATGAAGAACAGAATTTCATAGCATATTTGATTTCTACGAATTTCAATCTTAGAATTACAGTTATAAATTTTAGGATTATTTTAAATTGTTCCCAACTTTTGTGTCCTTATGTATTTTAGATGAGTATCTGACATGTTTTTTTTTCTCATTTTATAGACTCAGGCAGATGGATAGATGGAGGGGTGGGTGAGAAGTGGACAGATGGATGGATAGATGGATGGATTGTGGGTAGGTAAGTGGGTAGATGGATGATAGATGGGTGGGTGAGCGAATGGGTGAGAGGTAGGTGGGCAGGTGGATTGGTGAGTGGATGGATGAATGGGTGGTAAATAGATGAAGCGATTGTAGATGGCTATATGAGTGGGTGGAGGTCTGGATGGGTGGTAGATGGATGGGTGCATGGGTAGGTAGTGGATAGATGATGCCTGAGTCTGCACATCACTGCACTCCAGAAGGCAAATGAGTGCCCAAACCATGAGCTTTGATACTTAGATTTTATTTACTAAGATGCTATTAGAAGATGGAATTTTTCATCCCCATACATTTTTTAACACATCAGAATTGTTATGAGCAGAGGATGGAAAGGGTCATGAAAGCTTTGTAGTATTTTCAGCAGAAATATGTGATACATTTGAATCCCTTAAAGACTGCAAAGAGTGTGTCAGCAAGACTGGCAAGGAGTTTTTGTTTTATGAAGGCGAGTATCTTTATCTTGCAGTATTATCAATGCAGTTGTGAATTGAATCTAAAGTGGTATTAAAAACTGTCAAACAATTTTTAATCTGTTTGTATATCTTACAATAGATCACAGATAACATCTAAATAAAATCACACGTGTAACCCTACATGGCTCTGCTTATTTATGACAACATGGTGTGCTTAACTCCATGGGGAAAGAAACTGGGCACATACAGGATCTTTAGTTGACGTTGTCTTCAGGAAGCAACAGAAGATCCCATATGATCTGTGTTAAATTTCTGTGTGACCACAGATTCAGAGAGAATTCTGCGGAGGCCATGGGGAAGCCCTAGTGTAAGTAGATGACTCTTCAGACATGGTGACAACATCCTGGTAGAGAGACCAGGATGGTGATGGTCTTAGCTACATTGTGTCTCCATAATAATCATAAATAATCTGTGACACTCGTGGCATATGAGGTATTTTTATTATTTACTTCTGCTCAGGAGGATGCTCTCCCTCTTTCACTGAAGGAAACTAGAGTAAAGTCATGTTGTTTATTGTGACTTGGCTAGATACGGAACACAAGCTGGGGTAGCATTTCATTTGTGGAACTTTGGAAATCAAGCCTAGACTGTGCCGGTAGTGAGGAAATGAATAAGTGCTTCCTAGGATAGCTGTTTTGATCACCAAGAGTGCCCTGTGCCTGCACTGTGAGTCTTTACCCAGGACGCCTGGATCTTTGCAGAGCCTGGAACATAGTGCTTGACCTACCCAGAAGCCTCTGCACTGTGCCCAGGCTTCTGGAGAGCAAGCAGCTTCTTGGCATATGATGAAATGAGAGGATGGGTTTCCCACCTTAAAGTAAATGTAAACTGTCTCTAAAGACATGGTGTATCTAGTCTTTGATTACAGATGCCACCCTGGGCATCTGTGATGATTCTTACTCTAGTTCTCACTTGAAGCAGGACAGAAACCAGCCCACTGCCTGGAGATAGAACTGAGATTCCAAGCCCAGCCTTCTGCTCAAACTGCAGTGGGATGCTGGTGGAAGCTCAGTACTTTTGCCACTATGCTGGACTGTTGGGAGTCTCCAAGATGTGCTGGCACAATGAAGGTGTGAGTCCAAGGACCCAGATACCTCCCAGAGATGTGTCTTACAAAGTGAGTGACCATTTCAAGTCATTTCATAGCAGCTTGCAGGTCAGATCCGTGGGCCAGTCTGCTCCCCTGTGTGTGCTTCTAGATAATGGTTGAGTCTCTAGAGCTGTGGAGTTGCACCCATAGGATTCCCGCTCCTCCAAGCTTCATTCCGGGTCACAGGCATGGGGACAAACATTCCACACCAGTAGTCAGACATCTGTCTGCCTTCCTTGATTTTTAAAAATGTTTCCCATGGAGTAGTCATTCTGTGGTAGGTATGTTGTGAAAACACCCTGCTTTCCTCCCTATAGAGGCAGGAACAAACAAGGTGTTTGGAGAGACAAGGTCATTGGATCTGGTCCCGTCTGTGAGAGTCCTGACTAGATAAGGTACCTGTGACCCTCTGTGGTAGTTTGAATGTAATTGCCCCCAGGATATCATAGGCAGTGGCACTATTGGGAAGTGTGGCTTTGTTGGAGTGGGTATGGTCTTGCTGGAGGAAGTGTGTCACCATGGCAGCAGGCTTTGAGGATTCCTATGATCAGGATACTGCCCACTGTCTCAGTCAACTTCCTGCTGCCTGTAAGGTGTAGGACTCTTCAGCTACTACTCCAGCACCACATCTACCTGCATGCCACCATACTCCCAGTCATAAAGATAGTGGACTGAACCTCCGAAAGTGTAAGCAAGCCCCAGTTAAATGTTTTCCTTTATAAGAGTTGCCATGGTCATGGTATCTCTTCATAGCAATTAGAAACAGTGAGAGTTGAAGAGATGGCTCAATGGTTAAGAGAACTCCCTGATCTTCCTGAGGACCTAGGTTCAGTTCCTAGTACCCACATGGTGGCTCACAACTATCTGTAACTCCAGTTCCAGGGGATCTGACACCCTTACACAGATATACATGCAGGCAAAACACCAATGCACATAAAATAAAAAAATAAAAGAACCCTAACTAAGATAGAAGTTGTTACCAGGGACTGGGGTATCGTTGTGATAGGGTTGACTGACGCGAACCGCCTCGAACCAGCAATGACGACTCGACCACGGAGCTCTTCTTGCGCCAGTTTATTCAGGACCTTTGCTTCTCTCTCGCTTCTCTCCCGTTTCTCTCTGTCCTGAGGCAGACCTCTCCCAGCCCTTATATAGGCTATGGTCACCTATCCCGGAGTGCCATGTGGACATTGCTCATAGGCTCAAGCATACGCAAGCAACACATGACCATAACAGGTCACGGGCCATCACCATAAAAGGAGTTGTTTATCACAGAGAGTGCTCGCTTTCGGGCTCGCGGAGGGTGGCAGTCGGCCACACAGCTCTCTACAGTTGACCATTCTTTTGTTGGGAGGATCTTGGACTTTGGTACTCTGGGTTATGAATGCAGTGGAATGCTTTAAGCACTGCTTAATGGGCCATACTAGTAGGACAGAGGCACTAAGAGTTATTTGAACTGTCAAGGTCTTACTCAAGAGGTTTCAGAGGAGAATTTTTTTCTATTTTTCCTTATTTCTTTATTTATTAAAAATTCCCACCTCTTCCCCACCTCCTGAATTCCCTCCTCCTCCCTCCTCCCCCTCCCCTCCCTCTCCAGTCCTTAGAGCAGTCAGGGTTCCCTGCCCTGTGGGAAGTCCAAGGTCCTCCCCCCTCCATCCAGGTCTATAAAGGTGAGCATCCAAACAAACCAGACTCCCACAAATTCAGTTCATGCAGTAGAATCAAAACCCAGTGCCATTGTCCTTGGCTTCTCAGTCAGCCCTCATTGACAGCCACATTCAGAGAGTGTGGTTTGATCACATGCTCCATCAGTCCAAGTCCAACTGGCCTTGGTGAGCTCCCATTAGATCAGTCTCACCATCTCAGTGGGTGGACGCACCCCTCGCAGTCCTGACTTCCTTGCTCACTCATGTTCTCTCTCCTTCTGCTCCTCATTTGGACCTTGGGAGCTCAGTTCAGTGTTCCAGTATGGATCTATGTCTCTGTCTCTATCCATCGCTGGATGAAGGTTCTATGGTGATATGCAAGATATTCATCAGTGTGGCTATGGGACAAGGCCAATTCAGGCACCCTCTCCTCTGCTGCCCAAGGAACAAGTTGGGGACATTCCTTGAACCTGGGAACCTCTCTACAGTCAAGTCTCTTGCCAACCCTAAAATGGCTCCCTTAATTAAGATATCTACTTCCCTGCTCTCATATCCACCATTCCTCCATCCTAACCATCCCATTTCCCCAAGCTCTCCCCAATCCTCTTCTCCCTTCTCCCTCCCCATCTCCTCTTACACCCACCCCACCCCACCCCCATGCACACACGTTTTGCCTGGCAATCTTGTCTACTTCCAATATCCAGGAGGAAAACTATATGATTTTCTTTGGGTTCTTCTTATTTAGCTTCTCTAGGATTACAAATTATAGGCCCAATGTCCTTATTCATGACTAGAATCCATTTATGAGTGAGTACATACCATATTCATCTTTTTGGGTCTGGGTTATCTCACTCAGTAAAGTGTTTTCTATTTCCATCCATTTGCATGCAAAATTCAAGATGTCATTGTCTTTTACCTCTGAGTAAAACTCTAAAGTTTATATGTTCCACACCCTCTTTATCCATTCTTCTATTGAGGGGCACCTAGGTTGTTTCCAGGTTCTGGCTATTACAAATTGTGCTGCTGTGAACATAGTTGAACAAATGCTTATGTAGTATGATTGGGCATCTCTTGGGTATATTCCCAAGAGTGGAATTGTTGGGTCCTGAGGTAGGTTGACTCCCAGTTTCCTGAGAAACCGCCACACTGATTTCCAAAGTGGTTGTACAAGTTTCCTTTTCCACCAACAATGTATGAGTGTTCCCCTTATTCCACATCCTCTCCAGCAAAGGCTATCATTGGTGTTTTTGATTTTAGTTATTCTGACAGGTGTAAGAGATGGTATCTCAAAGTTGTTTCGATTTGCATTTCCCTGATCGCTAAGGAGGTTGAGCATGACCTTAAGTGTCTTTTGGCCATTTGAATTTCTTCTGTTGAGAATTCTCTGTTCAGTTCAGTATCTCATTTTTTAATTGGGTTAATTAGAGTTTTAGTGTCTAGTTCTTTATATATTTTGGAGATCAGACCTTTGTTTCATGTGGGGCTGGTAAAGATCTTCTCCCAGTCCGAAGGTAGCCTTTTTGTCTTACTGAGAGTGTCCTTTGCTTTACAGAAGCTTCTCAGTTTCAGCAGGTCCCATTTATTCATTGTTTCTCTTATTGTTTGTGCTACTGGGGTTCTACCTAGGAAGTGGCTTCCTGTGCCTATATCTTGTAGACTACTTCCCACTTTCTCTTCTGTCAGGTTCAGTGTGGTCAGATTAATACTGAGGTTTTTAATCCTTTTGGACGTGAGTTTTGTGCATGGTGATAGATATGGATCTATTTCCATTCTTCTACAGGTTGACATCCAGTTATGCCAGCACCATTTGTTAAAGATGCTTTCTTTCTTCCATTGTATAATTTTAACTCCTTTGTCAAAAATCAGGTGTTCATAGGTTTATGGATTAATATCTGGGTCTTCAATTCTATTCCATTGGTCAACATCTCTGCTTTGTGCCAATACCAAGCAGTTTTCATTACTGTAGCTCTGTAATAGAGTCAGGGATGGTAATGCCTCTGGAAGTAGTTTTATTGTTATAGGATTGTTTTGGCTATCCTGGATTTTTTGTTTTGCCATATAAACTTGATTATTGTTCTCTCAAAGGCTGTGAAGAATTTTGTTGGGATTTTGATGGGGATTGCATTGAATCTATAGATTGCTTTTGGTAGAATTGCCATTTTTACTATGTTGATCCTCCCAATCCAAGAGCATTGGAGATCCTTCTATTTTCTGGTATCGTCTTCAATTTCTTTCTTCAAAGCCTTAAAGTTCTTGTCAAATAGATCTTTCACTTCCTTGATTAGAGTTACCCCAAGATACTTTATGCTTTTTGTGGCTATTGTGAAAGGTGATGTTTCTCTGATTTCCTTCTCTGCTTCTTTGTTCTTTGTGTATAGGAGGGC